CCACGGTGTAGGAAGGACTTTTACACCCACGGTGTAGGAAGGAGCGCTACCAAAGGACTTTGTGACCAGCAGCTGTCAGACTCTATTACACAGATTAACATAATCTTACTCATCACCTGTTTAATTGACATATCGCATGTTTGTAATTGCTGATACTCATTTGCATCTTGTTTGTACACTGAATATTTCACCAGGATCATTCATACCCCCCTCCCCCCTACACACACACACACACACACTACTATAGGTCTATATTCCTCCTGCTATAAGAGCTGTGTATCACCCACAGCTGTGTAATAAAGGTTCATTCTATTCTGTTCTGTTGTCGACTGTGAAAAATGCACATTTGCAGTTGTTTTGTTTTGTTGCCAGGTTACCCTGTGATGATCAAAGCTTCTGCGGGTGGAGGAGGGAAAGGAATGAGGATTGCTTGGAACGATGAGGAGACGAGGTATTTTACTTGGTCACATGCTCAGTATACACGAGCCCATCAGCTACTCTGTCAGTGCGCCGTGTAGCTGTGGCTGCAGTGTTGCTATCACCAGTGTGTGAATGACTGAATGTAGTGTAAAGTGCTTTGGGGTCCTTAGGGACTAAGTAAAGCGCTATACAAATACAGGCCATTTACCATTTTTAGTAAATACACACTCAATTATGTGTTAAACAAAACGTAGAAGTAATTGTTTTTATTATTACAAGCATTGCTTATGTAGTAATGACTTAAAGTACTCTACCTCAGGTAATACTGTACAGTCTTATATTGCACATATAAGGACTAAAGCTACTGCTATTAGCTCGTACGTCTGCAGCTTATGGAAGATGCTCGTGCTTCTGCTCACATTAGTTAAACTCTTTTGATCTTAAGTAGCTCCAAATACCACAGTTACAACACTATTGCCCCAAACACTGATTCATCCCGTAATTACTATTACACTAGTGGCCAGAAATGTGTCAGTTCAGCTTCAGGTTTGTAGGGTTTTCCATTAGATGGTAGTACCTGCAGGGTCTCCCATTGTAATGATGTTTGTTGTTTTGGCAGCGTTGCTTTAATGACCCCAAGCAAATGGTATTCCACTGTAATGGAAAACAACCAGAACAGAGTGGAGTGGGTGCTAGTGGAAAAGAGGTTATATTATATGAACTTTGTAAGCGACACATTAAACAGTCCAGGTCTTCCTTTTTGTTTTGTCCCCGTGTGTTTTACAGACGTCTGTCATTAGTCAAAATCACCTGTTATTGTTAAAGTTATTCATTCAGCTCCTTGTGCTCTAAACTGAAGCTTATTTACTTACTTCACTGTTTTTCCTGATGTTACTTGTAGACCAATGGAAAGTCTGTATTTGCTCTTTAAAGCTGCTGTGATCTGTGGGTGTGCTGTTAACAGGGAAGGTTTCCGGTTCTCATCGCAGGAGGCGGCATCCAGCTTTGGAGACGACAGGCTGCTCATTGAGAAATACATAGACAACCCCAGACATATAGAGATTCAGGTATGTCGACTGTCTGCACTGATCTCCTTTAACTTTGATGGATGCATGAAAGCCAAAAGAACGAGCGGAGGTGACTCTTTGATTCCTAAACTCCTCGTCTCAGCTCTAGATTCACTGAAACAAACTTCATGACTGTCGGTTCAGTCGAGTCGAGAGGAGGCTGTTTCCTAACAGCTCTCACAAAACGCCATCTCAGGATGCACCACGCAAACAAGCTTGAAGAGTCAGAAGGTCACACTGTGAGTCAGACATGCAG